TTGAATTTAGATTTAGTACATATTTTGAGTTGTGACAGTAAAATTCTTTCTAACATCCGCCTTTAGTAATTCCTAGAGATGGGCAAAATGCGCATTTTCTATACAAAGAAAAATAATGTAAAAAGAAAAATTGAGCGAAAGGATAATTTAAAAGACATGGCGAATTTGCTTCTTGATAAGAAAGAATTCAATAGAAATCTAACACTAGATAAATTGAAAAGGTCTTAGAATATAATCGCAATTCAACGAGATGCCTTTGGCAAATACCCGAAACTTTAAGCTTCAAACTCATTTCTAGTCATGTTAATATAAGATAATTCAAACTTCAGCTATAACTTAATCTATATATAATATTTCTTATTATACTTTTTTTGACATAAATATATAAATAAATATACATTGTTCTTATTTTGAAGCACCAATAATTTAAAAAATATAGCAAAAAAATAAATAACAATCGTTCTAAATCACACCAATAATTTATCATGCCAGTAATTTGATCATCAAAAATTTTAGACTCAGGGTTAGAAGTCATGTAGTTAAAAATTAAGATTTTTTTTTGGAATGATAAACCTTTATACGGTGTGATTTAGTAAAGCGAAAAGTAACAAAAAATGAAAGGTTAAACATTCTTCTTTGTTTGTATTGAATTTTCTTTATCTCCTTGATATCCATCATCATCAATAATTCTAACTTCTGGAATGTTATATGATGGTATTGTACTTGTACTTGATAATTTTGTAAACGCTTCTACATTTGAATTAAATGAGTTGAGTGAATTAAACGAATTCACTCTACTTAACGAAGCACTACTGCTAGTTCCATCCCTGCCACTTGATAATTTCCTACTGCTGGAAGAATTAGACCTACTACGTCCAGTAATTTTACCACCATTATGTTTGTCAAGGAAGAAAAATACATCATCATAATCAGAATCATCAGCCTTTTCCCAATCAAATAGTTTGTCATCCATTAAATCCGTTAATGCGAATAATCTCAATGATGATGATGGCCTTGATGGTGATGGTGATCTGCTATTCTTTTTAACTTCTTGAACTATACGTGCATTATCAAAATCAGGATATATTTTTGGGCCTAGCTCGTTAATTAGTTCCGTTAAATCATACGCTAATTGTTCTCTAACTTGTCGTAGGTTTTGAATTGATGATTTGGACCAAGGAAGAAGTGATAGGAACAGGGGACGAAGCGACCTTTAAGATAATTTGGATAAATAATTATTAAAATATTCATGAGTCCCATTATTATTAAACAAAAAATAATCGATAAAAACTCGCCTGTATATGTCAAGTCCAGTGTCAGCCAATCTCATTGTTCCATAAGTAATAACAAATAACATAATAAATACGACTAATGGAGATAATATTCCGAGTTTTAATATTAATGTCCAGTTATAATTATATGCAATAATTAATATTATTAAAGTATAAGCTCCGTATAAAATTGGGGTAGCACCGAGAGCAACAAGTAATTTCCAAGTGGCCAATACATCACGTCCTGCAATCTTGACAGTAGAGCTTTTAACAGCCTCTGGCATAATAATATTTAAAAGAAAACAAAATAGTCAATTAACAGAATACTAAACTTAATACTAAACTTATATGAGTCGATTTAACTAACCTTTCGCTTTCCTGGCACTAATAATTCGAGCGATAGCCATTATAGGAAAGCCTAATATCATTCTATATATATATAGGAAAAAATTTTTAATTTTAAGAATATCATTTTATTAAGGCAATTTATATTTACCCGGGAAAGCCTAAAATACTCCATAATATCAAAAGAAAAATTCGTTGTAATAATAAGAACAAGGCTCCAAATTCACCATGAGCAGTTCTTTGAACTTGATGATCCTTTAACCCATAATATTTTAATAGTTGATTATATGCCATCACTTCTTTATTCATTTTTTGAACCCTCGAATCATCTTTAAAATTCATATAACCGCCAACAAAACGTCTATTTAATTCCATCACTTCAGGAAGCTCAAGTTTGTGATGTTCAGGTTTATACAAACGACGAGCAGCCTGAATGACCTGTTAAATAATATTTAACAAACAATAAGAATTTTAGAGGTTTAAATATTTGAAGAATAAAAGTAAATACCATCAATGTCTCATAATCCGGAGTATTAACAGTCACAGATTTTAAACCATTATAAATTATTTCCAACAAATTACTACAGGCATCCCTTTTATTTTGGCCACCTTTACTATATTTTCCAACCAAATCACGTGGTATCGAAATAGGAGAACCAAATTCAACAACAGCACGAGAACGAAATTGGTGGGCATGAAAATAATTCAAACCTGTAAGAAGTAAAAAATATTAGAGTATAAATTATACAGTACAGAAGATAGATATAAAAGTGATATAGTATTCCAACAAACCACATGGCACAATTTTGACATTAAGTTTAGGATTAGCAGCCATAGCACCCAAAGCCATAATAGTTACACCCGCTATATGTATAAAAAGATGTGTTTAAAATAAAATCAGATAATATTAATTACCGTTTGCCACTGCTTACAGCACCGGAAACATATTCAAGAAATCCATTTTTAAAATTGAACAGCACTCGTGGGTACAGTGAGAAGAATTGGGTACTATACTTAGAAGATATATTATATTAAAAGCAGTAAATCAATATAATTATAACACCGATTCTTATCCAAGAAATAAGTAGGTAGGGATGGAGAGGGACTTAATCATGGGTAATATTATACCGTAAGCAATGGTCAACAGTTGATAAATTTAAATACACAAACCTTTCAATGGAAGGATTTCAGTTCGATCGTGACTTCCACCTTCGGGAAATATTCCAACACAACCTCCAGCATTTAAAACTTCAAACACTGCTTTATAAACTTTACTTTGATCAATATGTGGTAAGCATTTGTAAGTTGTTCCTTCAGGTTGCGTCAACATTTCCAATGCTTTTAAGTCTTTAAATTCTTTTTTAATTTTCAATTTAGTATCTGATATTATATCAGTTACCTCGGATGATCCACGATCATTTGGTAAAGAAATTTGACCACCTATTTTCAATTGTTCAGTAAATTTCGTATCGATACCACTA